CCACTTTTGCCTTGCCATTGAGTCAGTCCATCAGACAGCCAGATATGAAGTGCAATGCAAGCCTCTCCTATTAGGCAAACAGAGAGAAGCAGCAAGTCCAGCCACCGACAGGGGGAAGTTCCTCTATCAAAAAGTTTGAAAGTTTAAGCTACCAGATGCCCCTAAACCAAAAAATGTCCCTCTTCTCTTGGTGGCATTTACTCTGAGAATCACAGTCTTCACAACCCTGAGTGCAGGAAGATGAGAACAGCTAGAAAATGACAACTGAGCATCACTATGTGCCAGTCCCAAAACCAGTGCTTTCTGTACAGGTACTGTTTCACTTAAGCCTCACAACAACCCTAAGTTGGTATGGTTATTCCCATTTCATAGAGGGGAAGCTCAGACTCAGTAACTTGACCACAGTCAAACAACTAAGTGGAGAAAACAAAATTCAAACCCAGGCTTACCTGACTCCGGGTTGCTCCCTTACCACAGAATGATACTACCTCAGGAAATGCTATTATCACCAAAACTGATGACGTGACCTGACAAGCCCAAGTTAAGGGAAGTGGGAAATCCTAAAAGTGTTAATTTTATTAGTCTAAACATCTCCAGCCTCCACTATCTCCAGAGAAAGAAAGGGGGGAAAAAAAGACTTGTCTTTTAACTGAGATACTGATTAATCAGGTCAGAGGAAGAGGTTCTAGGAGGCATAGTGGCTAAAGCACTTGACTGCTAACCAGAAGGCTGGCGGTTCAAACCCACCAGCCACTCCTCGGAAGGAAGGTTGGGCAATCCTACTTCCGTAGTGATACTGCCTCGGAAACCCAAGGAGGGGTCGCTATGAGTCGGGGCCGACTCGACGGCACATAACAACAACAACAACAAGTCCCCACAGAAAAAACTCACTGCTGTTAAGTCGAACTCGACTTATAGTGACCCCTCCCCTTGGGTTTCCAAGGCAGTATCAGTATGGAAGTAGATTGCCCAACCTTCCTTCCGAGAGGCTGGTGAGTTTGAACCACCAGCCTTCTGGTTAGCAGTCAAAATGCCTTAGGCACTATGCTACCAGAGCTCCTAAAAACCTCACTGCTGTGGAGTTAGTCCCAACTCACAGTGTCCCCTCCTTGGGTTTCTGAGGTGGTATCTCTACGGTACATTGCCCAATCTTCCTTTCAAGCTCTGTTGTTTGCCCCGCCTTCCTTCCGAGGAGTGGCTGGTGGGTTTGAACCGCCAGCCATCTGGTTAGCAGTCAAGTGCCTTAGGCACTACACTACCAGAGCTCCCTCAACAAGGCTCTACTACTCCACATCAAACAAGAACTGAACGTATATCCCAAATTATTTTATTGCTTATCCTTCAGATCTAAACTCCAGACCAAGGTTTCAAGGTGTTCACTTCAATGCAGACAGAGTCTATATGACTTTTATCAGATTCTCAAAGGGAGTCAAGTGACAAACACATGTGAGAACCACTGACCTAGAGGACAGAAGTGCTTCAGGGTTATACGCATGTTACTGCTTTGTCACCTTGTACAGGTTACTGACCTCATTGGTTCTTCGTGTCATTATTCATAAAATGGAAGTAGCAACAACAATGATCTAGCTGAACTTTGACAACCCCTGGAGGCCAGTTTTACTGCCTCAGGTTAATGCACAAATGAAACCTAAACTCAAAGATCAAGAATATGAGTTATGAAATAAAACTAGAAAATTTTAGATCTGGAAGAGACTACAGGCTCATCCAAACCAGTGTTACTTATGTAATTATGTATTTATTTTCAAAGTATACTTAAAAAACACTGGCTTTACATTTACAGTAGTGGTAATGCTAATTTCAAGAAAAATAATACATAAGTATGTACATATACGGGAGCTCTGGTAGCATAGTGGCTAAAGCACTTGACTGCTAACCAGAAGGCTGGCGGTTCAAACCCACCAGCCACTCCTCGGAAGGAAGGTTGGGCAATCCTACTTCCGTAGTGATAACTGCCTCGGAAACCCAAGGAGGGGTCTCTAGGAGTCGGGGCCGACTCGACGGCACATAACAACAACAACAACATGTACATATACATATATGTATATGTATATGTATATGTAATACATATGGGGAGCTCTGGTAGCATAGTGCCAAGGCACTTGACTGCTAACCAGGAGGCTGGCGGTTCAAACCCACCAGCCACTCCTCGGAAGGAAGGTTGGGCAATCCTACTTCCGTAGTGATAACTGCCTCGGAAACCCAAGGAGGGGTCTCTAGGAGTTGGGGCGATTCGATGGCAAATAACATATGTAATACATATAGTTATATACAAAGTAGGAAGCATTTGGGTGATAAGTCATGTCTGAAGTCTAGGAAACAGCTCCACCATCTTTATTTTCAAGAGGAGAAATCTGAAGCTCCAAAAGGTCTCACGACCTGTTCAAGATCACAGTTAGTAGTAGAGGTGGATTTAGACAGACCCAAACATATAGTTTCCAATCAGTCTTTCCCCAAGTTACAGGGCTGGTCCATTAAAGAATTGAAATAACCATTGAACCCCACTACTGAAATGTTTCCTTCTACCCAAAGTACTCTTACACACACACACACACACACAAAACCAGTAGTTGGGCAAATTGCCAGTCATCCAAATGTACTCTCTCCAGATTCAGGGCTGAGATTTAAAACACCCAAATCCAAATTCCACCAGGCCTAGTCCAGAGAGTTTCATTCAACGGCAAGTGAGATGGGATAAGATCAAGAACTCTGCAAGAGCATTAATTCCATCTTTGGCTCAGACCACTGAGTACAAAACTAAGCCTGGTCACTAGAGGTGTGTGAATCTGGGCTAGTGCCTCAGTTTTCTCATTCACAGAAAGTCATTCTTAGGTGAAGAAGTACCCACCATGGAGTAAACCTCTCTAGCCACAGTGATTGTTCTTAGGTACTGTGGTGCTTGTTTCAATTCACAGTGCTCCTACGTACAATATAACAAAAGACTGCCTGGTCCTGCGCCATCCTCAAAGGCAGCAGGATATTCACTACTACATCTTCAAGGCCCAGTACAATACCTAGTATACCACCTAGTATACCCTAGTCACTCGCAACTTAGCTAATAGCAGCAGGGGCCCAAACTAAAGTCAGCCTCAGAGTGCAATCAAAATTACTGGGCCCAATCTCTAAGTGAGCCTCTAAGTGGCTCCAAACTAACAGTCCAATGTTCCCTAAGCCAAAGATGTCCCTGGTCACTGATAAAGGAAGAGTCTATTCATATGCTTCAGGTAAGACACAGCCTCTAGCACAAGCCCTACCTCTAAAATGCTTCATCACCCCCAATAATTTTGCACTCATTTTACCCCCCAAAGATTGGCACTTGCTGCCCTGGGATTCCATTGTCTCCATATTCATTTTTAGAAACAGGCTCACAAAATGACATCTCAGGCACTCCTTTAAAGAGGACTGGGTAAAATTCTCACAGCTTGGACTCTACCAACCCAACCTATCATAACTGAAAGATACTACCTATTTTTTAAAAATCCATCAAAGAGACAAGAAAAGAAAAAGGGTCAAAGACAATTCCACCATCTGCCTTCATGTAATTCCTAATTCTGAAAATACGGATTGAACTATTTTTAAAATGGCTAGACTGAAAAGGAACCAAAAACACTCTCATAATCTAAGGCACTGATCCATAGTGCAGTCTATTTGGCCAGAAGGAGAAACTTGCTGGCTTCTGCAAAAGCCAAGAGAAAACCATACAAAACATGTTAAATTTCATTTCTCCCCTATCAAAAGGAAAAAGGGAGCTCTGGTGGCATAGTGCCTAAGGCATCTGACTGCTAACCAGAAGGCTGGCGATTCAAACCCACCAGCCACTCCTCAGAAGGAAGACTGGGCAATCTACTTCCACAGTGATACCGCCTCAGAAACCAAAGGAAGGGTCGCTATGAGTTGGATCCCATTCGACAGCAGTAAGTTTGGTTTTGGTTAAAAGGAAAAAGCAAAAAAAAAAAAAAGGTTTTACTAAAGGTTAGCGAACCTTTAACAGGAGTTTAAACTTCTCCTTTCTGGGTGGGGACAGAGAACATTCCTTCCCAGATCTTTGAATTTTCAAGGATAATATTGTTGTTATGTGCCGTCGAGTCGGACCCGACTTATAGCGACCCCTCCTTGGGTTGCCGAGGCAGTATCATTACGGAAGTAGATTGCCAAACCGTCCTTCCAAGGAGTGGCTGGTGGGTTTGAACCGCCAGCCTTCTGGTGAGCAGTCAAATGCCTTAAGCACTACGCTAATGGGAGAGGTAAAAGGGAGAATGAGGGAAGGAGAGGGAGTCAGGATATGTTCATTCTATTTTTAAACCCTCGCCCACAATTTAGAGTAAAGGAACACTCTGATTCTGTACTCCCACCCCTGTTACCTTCTGCTAAACACAAGAATCAAAACCTGCACACGTAAATGACACGATTCTAGATTTGGGAGTGACTGGCTAACCAACCATTCCACCCTGTCCCTCTCGTGAGCAGCTCCTGTGCCTTTCGAAGAAGCCGGTGGCCTTGAGCAGGCTGGAGCTGCATCCGGGGTCAAAATAGTAAGACTTGCCTTCTCCCAAAGGGAGGCAGCGCCCCCTCGAAAGGGCACGCTCCAGCCCCACGGCAGGCAATCGGTGACTCTACCCGAGCCAGAGCCCTGAACGCGATGGGGTTTCCCGACAGGTTACCGCGCGCCAGGCACTACAGCCCCAATCGTGGGACACCTGTGTGCACACCCACCCACGGTAACTAAGAGCAGCACTTGTGCTCAGGTGACCACCTCGCAAACCCAGAAAACAAACGACTCAGGGACTGGTCTCTTTTCTCATCTGACTGCTGCTGGCTCGCCCATGTTAGTATCCTTCCTGCCTCATTACAAGCATCTACACCCGTCATTCAATGCTTCAGGGTTAGAAAACCCGCAAGCGCACGGGCGACAAGCACTGAGCACCGCCCGACGGCCCCTCCCGCCCGGGACAGCAGTCCCCACCAGGCTCCGGGGCACTCACTCTTGAGCGCGCTGATGAGAGACTTTCCGTCCTTGATGAGCTCCTTGATGAATTTGTTGGTCTTGTCCAGCTCCGCTTCATGCGACTTGAGCGTCTCTCGGAAGTGAGGGCTGTCGAGGCAGCAGTCGCTGAACTCCAGCGCTGGGAGCCCCATGGTGTCTGCGGCGCCCAGCCGGGGGGCGCACCTCCCCCGGGGCCCGGGCGGACTGTTGGCCGAAGCACGCACGCGGCGGGAGTTCGGCCGGCACCCCCGACGGCCGCCGGCTCCACAGGTGTGGCGCCGAGTCGCTCTCCCCTCGGTGTCCGCTGGCACGTACTACTCCCGAAATGAGCCTGGATTGGGCGGATAGACGACCGCTCCGCAGCGCGCAAATAAGCAGTGGGCGAAAAGGAAGCACAGCAGCGAACCCAAAGCGGCGCCGGGAAAAGAGAGAGCAGGCGAGCGAGTGCGGACACCGCCTCCCCGCCTCCTTAGCTTGCTCCAGTTCAAGCAGCCTCGAGCGCCCTCTCACAGCAGCCTCTGCCTCCCAGCCGGCGTCCGGGCCGCTCGAACCTGCTAGCGATGACCTAATCCGTGCTGGACCAATCAGCGCGCCCGCCCCAGCCCGACCCCCCAGCAGCTCCGGGACGCCCGTCCCTTCCGAGGGCTTGAACCAATCACCCGAGTCTGAAGGCGGGGCTCAGGCGTGGGGGCGGGGTCCACACCACCGCCTAGGTCCGCAGCATAAGCTCCGCCCTTTCCCGCCCTCAGGTTGTTGCAGACCCTAAGGCTGGGTGAGTGACAGCTACTGTGGTAGGGCTCCAGCTACCCTGTACCTTGCCCGCCTGCTGTGGCCTGAATTTGATCCTGGGATGGTGCATAAGCTGGTCTGGGGACAAAGGAGTCTGGATGTGCCTAATATGAAAAATCTGGGAATTAGGGCTGCAGTTCCCCGCAACCCGCCCAGCACTGCTGGGCAACCGAGCTTGCACTCAAAATGCAGCTCACTGTCCCCGGGAGAACACCGAGCGACCATGTCGTCCGTAGGCACACGCTTCTTCCAGTGAGGCAGAAAATGTTTACATCTTAAAATTACCACTGCGCTTCTTGCCTGCATTCTTCCCGCCCCCTAGAGTCCGCCCCTCTCATGGCCACTCCTGCTCAAATACAGTCCACTGCTGCCCCGACTCAGAATCTAAAATCCTAATGAGAATTTCAGCCTTCTGTTATTTTCCTTCTCGACGCCCAACACAATTTTACATACTTAGGTCTGCTGCCTGTCTTCCTTCACTACACCATGAGCTTCACTAGAGCACAGACCACCACAGTTTTCCTGTTCACTACTACATACCCAACACCTAGAACAACGTCTGGTATTTAATAAGAGATATTGAGCACTTACCTTGTGGTATAGTGGTTAATAAATATTTGTGGCATTAATGAATGAATTTTTTCCCATGCACTTCTCCACCTGCTACTCCTCTGTTGGGCCACAGGACTTAATTCAGACAGCTTCTCTGAGTCCCATAGAGTGTCATGCTGAATTGTGAACTCCTGGAGAATAGGTACTGTCTGTGAATAAATTTTTTGTATGTCCACTAATTAGCAGCTTTCCTTCAGGTAGGAGTGTTTTATTTTGTTGTTTTTTTTAAAAATAGGCCTGCTATCTTCAGGCACCACGCTAGATGCTAGGGATACAAAGGTGAATAGCACAGAAGGAACTTAACTGCTGCTTGTCAGTGGGAAAGACACAATCAAACAAGCAATAACAATGCTCAGAGGCAAGGATTAGGAGGGAGAAGGACTGGGTGTTTCCTTAACATGTTGTTGTTGTTATGTGCTGTCCTCGAGTGGGCCCCAACTCATAGCGACCCCTCCTTGCGTTTCCGAGGCAGTATCACTACGGAAGTAGGATTGCCCAACCTTCCTTCCGATGAGTGGCTGGTGGGTTTGAACCGCCAGCCTTCTGGTTAGCAATCAAGTGCTTTAGCCACTATGCTACCAGAGCTCCTGTTTCCTAACATAGAGGAGCAGAAAAGGCATCCTACCCAAGATGAGAAATTGACTAGCTGATTAAATACATAAATGAATGAATGAATGAGATCTATTTCAAGGAGTCCTGGGGGTGTGAACAGTTTAGTGCTGAATGAACTGTTGACCATTCAAACCCACCCTGAGACTCCACCGAAGAAAGACCTGGTGATTGCTCTGGGCAACCTGCTTCCATAAAGATGAGAGCCAAGAAAACCCTATAGGGCAGTTCTACTATGTCACAGAGGGTCACTATGAGTCCAAATCCGTTCAATGATACCTAATGACATCTACAAATCTAGGTTCAACAGCAGGTCCAAACAGCTATCTGTTAGATGCTTATAACTTTAAAAATAATTGTTCCACTGTTAGATATATAGAGATAAGTATTGATTTGGGTGAAGAGAAGGGCAATATACCAAATGTGAGTGATCAATATGGTGGCACTGAGGAAGAGAAAGACATGGAGAGGTACATGGGAGGTATAGACAACAAAGATGAACCCTTTTGCACATACAGTACTGCACTGTCAGTGAAGGCAAACATGGGTATATGGGTGGACAGGTTTAACTAGTAGGTATGTCTATGAAGTGGGGAGTGTACCCAAGACTATGTATAGGGTTGGCAGAAAATGGTCCTATAAGTGTATTTGTATGATCTGTAAGAATTCCCAGGTTTATAGTAGAGCTAACGAGGGACAAAGTTGTAGTCACTTCTTGGTCACAGCCAGCTACCCAGAGGGACTGAGTAGTTGAACCTGTGGGCTTGGAACCATACTCACAGGGGACATCAAGCTCAATGGGCATAACAAACTACACAAAACATTGTTCCACCTTCTACTTGGGCAAGTAGAGACTGGGATCTTAAAAGTTTGCAAGCTGCCATCTAGATCCAACGATGGGTCTCTCTTCATCCAGAGCAAAGAAGAGTGAAGAAAACCAAAAATTTATGGAAACAATTAGTCCTAGCGACTGGTACACCATCCGATCTGCAGCCTATACGACTATGAGACCAGAAGAACTAGATGGTTCCCAGCTACCACTGTCAACCACTTGGAAGGGGATCTGTGTAGGAGATCCTGGATAGAGAGGGAGAACAATGTGAAACAAAACTCAAAATCATTGGAGGAAAAAAAAAGGGGGGGACCAGGTTTGCTGGTCCGATAGAGCCTGGTGGAACCACTGAGACTATGGCCCCAAGCTGCCCTTCAGGTCTGGAATTGAACCCACACCTGTGGCTTCCAGCCAAACAAAAGACAAGCATATGAATTGAACATGTACCTGAGGTAGATACACTCCTTGAAGAAAACAATCATGTGAGAAAGAAGGGCTGCTTATGCACAGGGAGACAGCTCAGGGGGCAGGAGTGCATGGAGGGATGGACACAGGGAAGAGGTAACTATCGGAAGGAAGTATGAGGGGAGATATTGTATTGTGGTAAACTGTGGTCAATGTCATGAGACAAAGTGTATGTGAACTGCTGTGTGGAAAGTGAATTTGCTTTGTAAACTTTCACCCAAATCACAATAAAAATAATTGTTCCTCACTTCCCAAGGAGGAAAGAGATCTGGAATGGAAACTGCATAAAGGTAGGGTCTACCTCTATCATATTTAATGTCATATCATGGGTACCTATACATAGGCTTTCTAGTTATCTATTGATTGTTTGAAAAAGCATCCCAAAACTTGATGATTTAAAACCTCCCAACAAACAAAAGCTCAGGACCAGATGCCTTCACATGTGAATTCTACCAAATATTTAAGAATTAGCACCAATCCTTTTGAAACTCTTCCAAAAAAAAAAAGAAGAGGATGGGAAACATCCTAACTCATTCTATGAGGCCAGCATAACCCTGGTACCAAAACCAGATAAAGATAACACAAGGAAAGAAAACTACAGACCAATATCCCTTATGAAGTAAATGCAAAAATCCTCAACAAAATATTAGCAAACCAAATTCATCATGTTAAACAGCTTAAATACCATGACCAAGTGGAATTTATCCCAGAAATCCAAAGGTGTTTCAACATTTAAAAAAACAATCATACTAATAGAACAAAGGATAAAGAACTACAGAATCATCTTTTTGATGCAAAAAAAAAAAAAAAAAAGTATTTAACAAAATCCAACAGCCTTTTGTGATAAAAACACTCAGGAAACTAGGAATGTTGTTGTTGTTATTATGTGCTGTGGAGTCAGACCTGACTCATAGCAACCCCTCCTTGGGTTTCCAAGGCAGTATCACTACAGAAGTAGATCACCCAATCTTCCTTCTGAGGAGTGGCTGGTGGGTTTGAACCACCAGCCTTCCGGTTAGCAGTCAAGGGCCTTAGGCACTTCTATACCGGAGCTCCCAAACTAGAAATAAGAGGAAAAATATCCTCAACATGATTAAAGGCTTTTATGAAAAAGCCACAGAGAACATCATATCCACCAGTGAAAGACTGAAAGCCTTCCCCCTGAGATTCAAAATAAGGCAAGGGTCCCCACTTTCACCCTTGCTATTCACATTGTAATGGAAGTTCTAGCCAGAGAAATCAGGGAAGAAAAAATAATAAATAAAAGTCATCTAAATTAAAAAGGAAGAACTGAAACTACTTCTACTTGCAGACAATATGATCCTGTATATAGAAAATCCCAAAGAGACCACAAGAAAGTGACTAGAGCTAATAAATAAATTCAACTAAGTTGCAAGATAAGAAATCAACATACAAAAAACAGTTGTGTTTATATACACTGGCAATGAACAAGCTGAAAAGGAAATTAAGAAAATTCCATTTGTACCCATAACAAAAGAAGAAATTGAACAGGCCATAAAAATTTACAAACAGAAAAAGAGCCCTGGCCCAGACAGTTTCACTGGAGAATTCTACCAAATGTTCAGGGAAGAACTGATACCAATCCTACTCAAACTATTGCAGAACATAAAAAAGGATGGAATCCTCCCAAATTTATATTATGAAGCAAGCATAACCTTGATACCAAAACCAGGCAAAATCACTAAAAGGGAAAACTACAGACTAATGTTTAGCAGTCCATGGTACTTTCAGCATTCTTCGCCAGGAACACATTTCAAAAGCATCAATTCTTCTTTGGTTTTCTTTATTCATTGTCCTACTCTCACATGCATGTGAGGCAATTGAAAATGTCATGGCTTGTGCTGAAAGTACCATGGACTACTAAAAGAACTAACAAATCTGCCCTGGAGGAAGTGCAGCTGAAATATTCTTTGAAAGTGAGAATGGCCAGACTTTGTCACACCTACTTTGGTCATGTTGTCAAAAGGGACTGCGGTGTAGTAAATTACTTAGTGTGGCTTTTCTACCCATAAGTCTTTGTAAACTCCAAGGTGGGAATTGCTATTAGCTACGGAGGAGATCCTGATTTTAAAGTTGCCCACCTGGGTTATTTCTGTTGGGCGTGGCACAATACAATGTTCTGGGAAGTTCCCACTCTCTCTCAC